AAGTAGGGGGAGACTGCCACATTCCATGAACTGTGCTTGCTAGCTGCAGGGTATGCAAAGATGACTAATTTCCTTAATCTTCCTATGCCCCTAGTTTATTAGGAAGATAGAGATAAAAAACTAATTAGAATGTGAAGTGACCGGTGCTGGTACAGAGAGGCCCAGATTGCTGTGGGAAGGAACACAGAAGAGGGATTTCCTATCACCTCTGTCTTCTTGCCTTAAAGGGAAAACTGAAAAAAAATACTTAGAATAGAAAGGGCATCTTTCCTCAGGAGCATTGTGATGGGGTGTGTGTCGAATTGTGACACTTTGACAAGGGCAGTGATTTTTATAAATACATGAGTCAGAGACTAGATATTAAAACAGACCTTTTGATTTCATGATTTGATAGAAAGTGCAGCAGGATTCACCCTTTTAAAATTCATCTCTCCTGAGCTCTGTCCTCTGTCCATCCCATTTTCAAGAGGTGTCTTTCCACTATATCGCTAGGAAGGAGCTCTCCAGTTTAGTTTAATAGAATAGTCTTACTTTACAAACCTCTGATGAGAAATTTCCCATGAAGAGCCTAAACTAAATCTCTTCTTCAAAATCCAAATCCTATTATTTCCCACTAGTCAGAGGTAGTTAGCATTAATAATTAATCAGCATCCTGTATATTTAACAGACTTGGAAACTTTATCATGTAGGATATTAGATTATCTCCATTGTCAACTACCTTTTCATTATCATCTGTACTCTCCCTTCCAAAGTGCCCCCAACAAACAAAAATTACTCTTAAGAATTAAGAAGCAATGTAGACTTTGCTAACATTTCTGTAGAGGGTGGTGGGGAAAGATTTGCTTAGCATGCTTTCCAGTAAATGCCCCTGAAATCCTAATTTTGCCACTGTTCTTCTCCATAGCTCCTCCTTTATGTGGGTGGCCAGTGTTTCCTGCAGAGCACTCAGCTTTTGGGTTCAGCTTGGCTACATTTTGCAGAGCAATTCCACTCTGACTCTAGACTTGCAAACTTCACTCATCTCTCTGAGCAGTAAAACAAAATACCCCACAGTTGACTGTTCCCATTACCCATAGAAGCCTGTTTGATAACCCCCTACAGTAAATAGAGCATTTCCTTTGAGTTTCTTTTGTTTGTGCAGAGATAATAGAATTGTACAGAATAGATGAAAAGGCATTAGGCTTTTCTATTTGTTCCTAAATAGAAAGATTGGTCTACAGTTACTTAGCTTATCATTATAGGAAGCAGAAATATCTCCCTTCTTATTCATAAAGAGTTGCTTAAGAATCACAACCTCAGTACATAAGAAACATCTATTTAATAATATTTTCTTTTGTTTAATCTACAGAACATTCCCATAATCTCAAGAGCGTGTCCTATCAATTTCATGAAGACCAAAGTTAGATAGTTTCTTAGTGACAGAAGAGTGAAATTTGGATGGATATGCATTTTTTCCTTTATATTACAAGTGTAAACTATGATGATGCTAATGAAGAGTTCCTATGAAATAAGAAGGGTTCAGATATATATGAAATGCTTCATTTGGTATCAGCTATTTTTAAGATATTAATAAACCTGCTCTTCTCACTATAATTATTTTGCTATTAAAGTAGGTAATGAACCTAAGGAACTAGATTAAACAAAATTATTTTAATAAAAATAAATTTCAGTAATTACCTGATCTCTACCTGCTTTAGAGTAAGAATCTATGCATCATGGACAATTATGAGTTTTATTATTCAAAATATGTATACCCTTGATACCTGCAAAAAATTAGAAAGTATTATAAAGGGTTAGATTTTTAAGAGTGGGAGTGGTCTGTGCCCCATTTTATGCCAAATAATATTTTTATAGGCTTGTGACTTTTAAAGCTATTTTCTCCATTGATATAACCCAGTGAAGTATTGAACAAGTATATGTTGTTGAAGAGTTATGAAACTGGGCATGAGATTTTGTACTTCAGTAGATCTTTATAAAGAGCAGGTTAGATAGTCATTAACTCTAAACAAAGATCTGTTATCCTTGACATTTTATGTATCTGATTATTTTAGGATGATCAGACATCAGAGGAACCTATAAGTAGAAACTGCCAATTTCATAATTGGTCATGAATCTCCTAAAAGCTTTCTTTTGTAGTGCATGAGAAGAAAAACTTAGGGAAAAAAATCATACATTTTTAAGTGCATTATATTATTTTATAAAGGAATTGTGGAAAATAAAATATCCTTCTTCAATTTAGGTGTGGCATAGAAAACTAGGGCAACACTTACTTTAGAAATATCAAGTGTTATTCACTGTTTTATAATTAATTACATAATTACCACCAGAACACAAAGATCCCAGGGTACCTTAATGGAAACACTACATTTCCAAATAAAATAATAATAATTATCACCTACTATATTCAAAGTGCTTTATTAGCTATAATTTTTAGCTCCCCACATCTCTTGTGTGTAAATAAACACCATTAAGAATATTACTCTTTTCTATAGTTTAGGAATAAGAAAACTAAGGCAGAGAAAGTTATTTGAATGATAAATTAGGTACTATTGTTTTGAATCATTTGAAGAGGCAGATATTCAATAGGAACAATAGATGTTGGTAGGGTACAAAAATAGGTCTTGCCACTAGTCATAAATTACCATGTAGTAATTAATTACAAGAATTACTTTTCTTCCAAACCATATGATCAAATCAGCTTAAATTTTGTAAACAATGTCATGGCAGCCTTGAGACCGTTGGAAATACCGGGGATATGATAGAACTTACTTTAAGAGTCACAATCCTAGATTCCTGTTCACCTCATGACATTATGTGTCATAAAAAGCATTGGATTGGGAGATTGATGAGATGTAATGAATTGAATGTCTCAGAATTCAATTAGAGGATAAATCAAGCTCTACAAATTACATCTTGCCAATCTTGTTCCTTGCCAATGGAACAAGACTTTTTTGTTTTTTAAATCCCCCCAAAGAAATAGAAGGCAGTTTATTAAGATGGCCATGGAAAGCACAGGTAGAAGCTGTGGGCCTCCAGCACACTGGATACCCTTGTTTAGGACTGGAGCACTGGAGCAGATGTTTTCCCTAAAACACTGTAGCAGAAAGTCAAGGTGAAACATGGCCAGCAAGGCACAAGTCATAAAGCCTACAAAGTAAAGGGATGTTCATTATTACAGTGTTTACAAACTGTAGACTCATTAGACCATACACACACAACCAAAATATGTGATTGATGCCCATTTGTGAAGAATCTGAGATTAGAAGGAAGCCAGCCAATTAAACTTCATTTGGGGAGATAAGTAAGACAAATAATGACCTTGCAGTGATCTGAGACAGCTCTACTGCAGGGCCATTCCTGAGAAGAATGAGCACATTCTAGCCTGGCTCTGTCTTGGTGCCCTAAATGGTTGAAAGTAGAGAAAGAGAAGTGCTTTGAGGTTTCATGATAGAAATATTGTAGTGGATGAACAACTATAGGGCAGACATTGAAGATACCTAAGTATTTCTTAACACCATTAAGTTTATTTTATGTGATAAGAATCTCTCTATCTGATGGCACTTATTGCCTCAGATACCTGATGCACCATATAGGAGTATGTTCTGAACTCATTTGGGTAGTAGAGTGTAATGGCAAGGATATTTACGTATCCTGAGTGTAGTGTACTCCCAAAGTTACAATCACTCAATGCTGTTTAGATAGAAATTTGGGGGAAAAAATCCTATTTCACAGGCCCCTTTAGTTGAAAGCTAGAGATTTTTTGAGACCATAGAAACCATTTGTTCATTATCCACCTATCCTGGAGATATTGAAACCTGAACTTCCATTTGAATTAAACTTCTGTTCAACTAGCAAGAAGCTCTTTTTGACATTACAGTATTCAAGGGACTACTGATTCTTGAGCCTAAGAATTAAGGAATAATAGAACATACCCTGAAAAGATCAAACTTCACACGAAATATACTGACACACTAGGACATTTAATTCTAAAATTATCACTACCACAAACCTGGTTTTAAAAATGTATAATTTGACATCCAAATGAGAATTAACACTTAAACTCATGTGCTGTATCAATCCAGCTGAAAATCGAACTCATCAGGTTGCTCATCTAGATTGAGAACAGGTGAAAGAATACTTAACCTGTAGAGTTATGCATGCAATGGGTTCTTGCATTTTTAAGAGTAGAGAGAAGGCATAGAATTTTATAAACAGCATGATAAAAAGGGAACCTTTGTAACTATATTTAATGTTTTATTGTTATTTATATCTGGTAGAGCAATGCTGTGAGAATATAATAAAAAAAACATATTTAAACTGTGCAATTCTAAGGAAAATCCAGACCAAACAAATTTTGACCTGTAAAGTTTACCATTCTACAGAGCTTAAAAAAAAAATTTTTTTTTCTTGCTGCTCCAGCCCTCTTCAGATTTCCTTATGGACAGCTTGCTCTTCTCCCCTCTTGCTTTTCCTGACTTTTGTAATTTTGGCACCCTCCTTTTCCAGCCTCATAGCAAAAGGGTTCTTGCTTTATTCTTCCTCCTGACATTCTTTGCTCTCTGAATATATTTCACAGACGACTGTCTCCCAAAATAACAACATCAATTAATTTTTTAACTTAAAAAAAAATCATATTTTGCCCTGAGTCTGCCCTCTCCATTGATGTGCAGTGTGTGGAAGAGGCTGCACAGGGGCTGATAAGCCCCATTTGTGAAGGCTCTTCATTCGAGGCGGAGCATTGACATACACACAGACCATGCTGTTTATTAAGCCAGCCTGGTGCTAGGTGAGTTGATGAGTTGACCCACATATCTCACCAAGCTCCCAGAAACTGAGCCACAAGACAGCTGCTGAGGGACCAACAGGAAGCAGCTGTACTTCTATGCCTATCTGGAAGTTGTTCTTTGTTATTTGTTTTGAATACACAACAGTTGGTCCTGTGAAGTTCTCACTCAGTTAACTATTATGGTTTCTCACCACACTCCTCTCCCCTTTTGCAGAATCTGATGATCTCCAAGAGGACCCCCAACTCAGCTATCAAAGTGCTGCTGCCTCCCAGGATGCTTGTAATTCAATGGTAGATGCAGGTGGAATTGAGAGCATCACTCAGTGTCCTCAGGAGCTTCCCCAGATGATGGCTGCAGGTAAAGCCACAGGATGCAAACAAGATATTTTGAGTTCTCACTAGAAAAGCTTGCTTGGCCAAGAAAATAGGAATTAAACCAGGAGCTGAGGCTCTGTAAAAAATCAGACCATGAAACTCAGGAAAATCAAAGAGCATGAAGTCAAATTTAACACATTTTTTTTAAAACCTCTTTACTCTTTGTGTTTTAATTTTTTAATTTATTTTATAAAATCAGTATTTATAGGGAATACTTTGGAAAAGTCACTTTAGGTAAACATCTGCATTTGCTTATGAATCCTTAATTTCCTTAATGTAATAGAAGTATGAAAAGGAGGAAATGTGTTTCTAGGTAACACTTAAAAATTCAATCAGAACCAGTCCTACTGATTGGCAGCTGCTCTTCTGTTGCACAGTTAAGAGTACCCGGTCCAGAATTACACTTGAAAACAGATACATTTATTTATCCTCAGTTTACTAAGCTAGTTGACTTGCTTTACCATTAGAGTACTGCTGCTCTGCTTCTTGACCTTGAACTTGTCTAATGTTTCAGTGGGAGGAGGAAGCACTTCTTTGCTTTTTTCCAAGGGTATCTGCCTCCTTAATGGCATGCTAGGTATAACGCAAACTACATGTCATTAAATTTCCTCCCAGAAAGTATTTGGGAACTCTTTGTGTCTGAAGAAAACATTGTTGTAGATTGTAGCGCTTTAATATTATCATTACTTTTGTGTCTCTGTGTGTGGAGGGTGGGTGAAAATGTGCTAAATGAAGCCTCATATGTTTAGAACTGTGATTTTCTTTAAAGTGAAGACCCTTGTATGTTGACTCTAAGCCAGAGTTTATTTTTCCCACAGCAGCTGATGGTTTGGGGAGCATAGCAATAGACACGACGCAGCTCAACATGTCCGTGACAGATCCCACAGCCTGGGCCACAGCTATGAACAACTTGGGCATGGTTCCCGTGGGGTTGCCTGGACAGCAGCTTGTATCTGGTAAGCTTTCGCCTGGTTTCGAAGATGCTTGCAGTGTTGCCAAAGGGTTTGGGTGACAGGTGCCCGTAATCTCTCCCCACAGCGGGTGTTGAACATGGTCTTTGATATATGAGTGGGGCGTGTTTGTTGGATTGTGTTAGAGATTCTTTTCCTTGTCGCCTTGTTCTTGTGCCTGATAGCCATTCTCCGAAGCAGCAGTCACCTGCACTGTTACTGCTACATGCAGTGTCTCAGCTCTGTTGCCTCACAGCATCAATTGCATTTTTTAAATTTGTATATAGAATGGCTAATGCTTGATCTCTGATTTGCAAAATTTATTTATGTACATCATCCCTTTGGTTGCAGTCTTCCCTCTGAAGTAGGTAGATATGTATTTTTGTTGTTGCTTCTGGCAGTGTTCCCATTTCACAGGTAGGGAAATAAAGCATTGAAGTGTCAGAGCTAGAAACTCAGCTTAACTGACCCCAGGTCTACATTTTTTAGTCTACAACACTTTTGAATAGTAAGTCGATGAATTTGATAGATAATGTATTTAGAAATATCACCATGTCAAAGGTCGTTTAAGATTTTATTATTTAATTCAACACGTTTGTGGAAGATTTTATGTGTTTTGTAAAAAAATGCTTTGGGAAATAGAGTAAACATATACATTTATAAGTGTTTTTTAAAAGCACAGCTCCCTAAATTTGAAAAAAAAATTAATGAACAACAAGAGTTAAAAAAAAATTTGTGTAGAATCAGGTGTTAAATGGTGGTACAGATGAGTCATGTAGTAATTTCCAGATCAGTCACTGGGACTCTTAGGGAAATGTCTTCATGTTCCTGACTCACTCACTTTCTCACTCAACACACACTCACTGAGGCAGGCCCTGCCCTGGCACAGGGGTTCTGCAGTAAACAAAACAGGTATGGTCCACACCCTCACAGGCTGTGCCATGGAAAGGGGATGGTCAGTTATTATGCTAAGATCTTTGTTGTAATAGCAGATGAACCCTTCAGTTAGGGCGAATGATGTGTACTACTTAGGAAACAGTTGCCTTGGAAATGCTGAGTCAGGCCCACAAACATGGACTTTGTGCTGAGTTGACCAAGCATTTGATTTCTTTTTCTTCTTTCTTTAAAAAAAAGAAAAGAAATAAAGAAAGTGTGTATGGATAAATGTCTAAATTAGCTATATTAAATTATAGGTGTGCATATATACAATGTATACATACATGAATGTATGTGTATATTCATATATACCCATGTATACATGTACACATATGTATCTAAATATATATAGTTTATTTTTTAATATAATAAGAAAGAACATAAGGATAGATAGGACATGGGAAAATAACAGAAAAAAGGAAAGATGAAGATTGAATTATAAAACATTATACTTAGGGTATTTATAAAATTCCTGGAGGTACTGTGAAATCCCTACACTTGAAGAGCTCTCTGTGGCAGGGATCAGGGTGCGCATTCATTAATGACATTGTCTGTGGGTTGGACATGTGTTTATACAGGGCCCTTTCCTCAAAAGCTGATCTAGACATTTCTTCTGATAACAGGAGAATAAGATTGGTAATCTTCCACCCAGGTTTTCCCACCTGCCTGAGATTTCATATAGCAGAAATTACTTTATTCTTGTCTCATCTCTCACTTTTCTCAGAAAATGTTGTGTGACTTCTAGAGGAAACCAAAATCTCAATTATTCATTATTTTTCATATGATTTTGAGTCTTGTGGCATTTTAACCATGGCCAATTTATGATTTTCCCAGCAACTTACCATGAAAGGAATTATAGCCCTACTCGTTATAGAAGATTTACCGTATCTGCCCTGAATTACGTTCTCTATCTCCTGTATTAGCCAAACTGCTGAAACAGGTTTTGAGCCTTCCAGGGTCTTTCTGGGATTCTCTTCCTCCTTTCTGCAGTCTCACAATGGAATGATACTTTGCTTTGTTCTCAGGGTTACCAGCCAGCTGCTTTTATTGACCTGACCTCAGGCCAGTAAGAGTGAAAAGGTTTTCTTTTATGTATGGTTATTGTCCATGTATTGTGTTCTTGTCTTTTTTCTTTGTAAATATTTCAATCATATTGAATACAGAATTTTATTTTATGCACTTTGTTAACATCTCAAATTGTTTTCCTACTTCATGCTTTTATATTAAAAATGTAAATAATTCATCAAATAAATCATCTTCATGTTGCTTAACCATTCTAAATGTTTCTACTTTTCCACTTTTACTAGCCAAGTGTCTTTATGGAATTTACTCTCTCTGAGCATGTGAATGTATTTTACCTTTCATGTAATATGGTGGTCCTGTCTATTTTATGGATCATTGTGAGACTTAAATGTGATAACTTGTTAAAAGCAACTTATATCTGTATATAGTAAGTATTCACTAAATATTGACTCTGTCTTCCTTGTTTTTTTAAACTAATAATATTACAGTGGATATTTTTAAACATAGCACTTTTCAGCAGTTAGAATTATTTCCTCATATAAATTCCCACTTGTAGAACTAGTAGGTCAAAAGAAGTGAACATTTTAAAGATTATTTTTATGTACTGGGCAACTAATTTTTCAAATATGCAGATGTATTTAGAATTCACTAATTTAATCCTACCATTTTACCTTGAATTATTTTAGGATGCAAATCATGCACTTTCATTCTTTTGTGATTTAGATCTTAAGTATCCCCCAAAGGCCCATATACCAAAGGCTTGATTGACAGCCTCTGGCACTATTGGGAGAGGTAGAACCTGTAGGAGGTGGGACCTGAGGGGAAGAAGTTAAGTCATTAGGGGTATGCCCTGGAGGGGATATTGAGACCCCTGCCCCTTCCTCTCTTTTCACTTCTCGGCTTCCATGAAGTGAGTAACTTTGGTCCACCACAGGCTCCCACCATGATGGTTCTGCCTTACCATGCATCCAAAACCATGGGGCCAAGTGACCATGAATTGAAACCTCTGAAACCACAGCCCATTTTCCCTCCCTTTAAGTTGATTTTATCACAGTGAGAGAAAGCTAATATGTCTTCTTAACCCTTTATTTACTGTTGATTTTTCCTCTTTATAAATAGATTTTTCTCATACTGTGTCCATTTATCAGATAGGGTTCTTGGTAATTTTTTAAATTGGCTATGTTACTCATTTTAATCCTTTGACTTAATATTTCTTCAAATTATCTGGTCTGTATTTTGCCTTTTAATGTTGGTATTTTTTTTAAAAGGATTGTTTAATTTTTCCCGTATAAGTTCTTTATTTCATTTCTAAATACATAATGATTTATCTGCTCCAGAGTTGGCTATGTTTTTGATTTTCCATGCTTTCATTGGCTTTCCTGTCTTTTATCAGAAATTAAATTCTTATGTATGTGTTTGCCTGTTTCTGGCATATCTATCCTGTATTGCTGATCTTTCTATTTTTAATTCCAGCACCTCATTGTTTCATTTATGACAGTTCTATAATTTCATTTATCACAGTTCTATAATGTGTTTATAGGGAGCGTGTTCTGCTGGGTGCTGTACCTGTTGTGGGTTACTCTTTGTTTCTTTTCAGCATAGCCCTGGAGCCCTGGAAAGCTGTTTTTCCCTTATTGTTCCTGCTGGCCACCTCTGGAGTTCTTCAGTGTGACTGTAGAATGTTAGAGGCAGTCTTTAATGTTTCAAAAAAGGGACTTAAAGATTATTTAGTGTAACATTCCTTCCCAGAAATCCCCTGTAAAATATCTCTGACAGGATTATGGAGAGGCTGGATTTTATGAGCACTTGGCTTTCTCCCAAAGTTTCTGATATTTCTAAATGACCAAGCACTCTTCCCATATTTGTTAAAATTAAACTGACACTAAATCCCCTTTCTAGCTGCTTCTCCAGTTTATTGAGAGATTAAAATTATCAGCAAAGCAAGGTGTTCATTCTTCATACCCTCTGATTTTATCCAGAGGCTTTCCCAGGGAATTACATCCCATTTACCGCCATGTCGCACCTTTCTGATGAGCTGTTGTTATGGGCTCCCATAAACACACCTCTTGCATCTGCCTCTCCTTTTATCGTCATAATTCCATTCCGACTTTAGGAACTTTCATTTGCCTTCCTCATATGAAGCGCTACTTGAGACCATTACGTTGAACTTGTTTCTTTTGCCCAAAACACTCCTTTTTTGTTGTTAGAGCCCAATCCTGCTTTCCACACTCCAAAGTCTTGCCTTCTCTATTAGGTACTGTTTATCTCCACCTGTCATTTTTTTTTTCATGTTTGTTTTATATCCATAGTTTATTTCAGTTTTGTGATGTGATTGTTGTTTATTTGTTTTGCTATCAATATTTTGTGCTTTGTTATAAATCCAGTTTTTCTACATGGGTCTATTGGAGCATTAGTGTCCCACAGTTGTTGTTCAGTAGGGCAAATGACACCTAAGTATTTAGGTGGACTAACAACCATAGCAAACTCTCAGTTAAACACAGGTAAATTACTTCCTTATGGAATTTCTCAAAGTCTTTACTATGCTAATGTGCAGTGTGCACATTCAAAGAGTAGGAGCTAGTACCAAGATTCCTCAAACCTTTAGTCTTTAAAAAATACTCACTCGCATCTCATGAGACACTAGAATGCAACCATCTACACCAGATTTTTCCTGTCAACTGAGGAGGCTCCTCTTCTTTGCCTTATGAGACATCCTTCCTATGATCTAGTTTTATAATTTTGTTTGTGTTTGTGCTGAACAGTGTCACTCTCTAATACCCTAATTTCAAGTTTCAGAATAACTTTTGTGGACAGGTGTTGCCTAAAACCTTCTTCTGAGTTTTTGGTGGCATGCATTGTCCCTTTCCAGGGACCACCACACACACATATACACATACACCACACACTTCTGGCATCATAGGCTAAAATCTGGGTATCAAATACTGAGCTTTGACACTATCTGTGTGATCAGATCTGCCCTTGTTTCTTTCCCCAAGCTATCATCGTCAGCTGGAAGGAGAGTCGAAGAGCAGGAGTTGGGTCCTGGA